AATATAACACTTGTTAATTAAGAAAACTAAGTGCAAAGAAATGATTAACTAAAAACCTTTACGAAATCGTTGCTGTAAGGGACATTGATATGAAAGGGTGTCCAACAACTTTCATCCACGGTGGTCTTATAGCCGCTTCCATCATCTTTCAAAGGTGAAGCTGCAACAACGGATGCGGTATAGATGAGCCGTTTCACGGTTCTAGACTGTATGCAAACATCTGCAATCTTCTTTATTGCACTGATTGTTGCCTCAATCTTGTCATTGTACTATCAAGCAACAAAATCATTAGAAAGTGAATTTCTTTTTAGGTTTTTGGGAATCTTGATTATTGGTTGTAAATTCAAGAATGCCACACCTTATATCCAGAAGTGTGGTAGATGGGGGTTGCAACATGGAAAACATAGACACAACCTTGTATAGCTTCTTCAAACTCATTTGGTTTGTAAATATCAGCTTCAAACAAATGAAGTCTTTCTTCTGCATATGGAAAACCTCTTAAAAGTCCCACCTTGGATTCATCACCTTCGAATTAAACAAAAACCACACAAGTTAATATGCGGACATACATAGTGTTGGAACCTCTCTTCTCTCTTCACTTCAAAAGGGCGTTTTTGTAGAGTAATATAATAAGGTTCCACATATTCTCAGTATGGTAGATACTCTCACACATAAACACACAAAGATACGAAGAAACGACAGGTTATACGTACCCAAGTTTCTAAGAGTAGCATGAACAGTGTAACCATTTTGTAGAAGTGAGTGAACCAAGGCTGAGCCAATATAACCAGCACCTCCAGTCACACAAACCTTGCACCTACTTTTACTCTCCATTCTTCTTCTTCTTATTTCTTTTTTATGGTATCAAAATCAATTCAAAAACTAATGCTTATGGGTATAAAAGAACATGTAGTTGTGGTTAGTCGTGGATGTGATGATAGCTTTGTACCTTTACATGTGCTCCACCGAAGAATTAATATTGAAGTGACAGGTGGACCTAGAGCCAGAAAAGGACCATCAATATATGTTGGCAGCATATTCATATAAAGGTATTAAATATGTATCAAATTAGACCCATCAATTAACATGCATGGAACGAGTCACTGATAGTAATAATTAAATTGGTACCCGATATGTTTAATTGGTTGATAAAACCGTACCCATTTTGGATTGTTCGTATGATCCCTCACACCACCATTTAGTTTTCAATACGATGGTACTACATATCAACAATGTGTTTTTAAAAATTATACATATATATATATATATATCACTATTAAACTGGTCAGCTTTTCCGGTAGTAAAATCCGTAGAAAATCCGCCAAAAAACAGTGTTCCCGACGGATTTGGCCGTCAAAAAATGAGGCGCCGGTGATTTTTTTTTCTTGACGGATTTTTGGTTTTCCGGCGGAAAATGACCGCCGGAAAGTTGCCACTTTTTTTGAGTTTATTTATAAAAAAAAACCTTAACTAAATTTAGAAATTATTGATAAGATTAAAAAAAATTTGAATTAAATTACTGGCGGAGGTGTCCGCCGGAAATCTGCATGTCTCCGTCAGAAATTAAATTGCATAATCCGCCGGAAATCCGCTGGAATTAATGTCGGAATATAAGTTTTTTTTTCCCGAATAATTACCGGCGGATTTCCGGCCGAAGTCGAAGAAAGTTGACATTATTGATGTCCGCCAGAAATTCACCACTAATTTTTGGTATGCCGGAAATAGTCAGTTTTCTAATAGTGATATAATGTTTTTTTTTTAATTTTATATATGTGTGTGTGTGTCTGCACACGCATGATTATATATGATATGAGTGTTCTATTATTTTGGTACCTCCTCTCTCTCTCTCTCTATATATATATATATCTCTATATATATATATATATACACACACACACACATATATATATATATATATATATTATAAAGCGTTTGAATTTTTGTTATTAAACGCTCTTAAGTTTTTAACAATGCAACTACTAAGTAATTGAGTACAAATTAATAATGCATGATGAATTCAGAAGGCAATGACGAAAACCCACACGCAAATATGAAAAGTTGAAATTAACATCAAAAATTAAATCTAAACCACATAAAAAAACTGTCTGGTTGACGAATTTTCTTATTCATCCATAAATCTAAATTATCCATATCAGAAAAGTTGTCATGTTACTATGATTTTATGACCCACACGATATGTTTCTGAAAGGTGACAATACAGATATCCACTCAATTGGTGCTCGTTGTGAATGACCATATTACCCCCACAATTCTATCACTCTCAAATCAACTCTAGAACATTAGAAATTTTCAAAGGAAATGTTGATATAGTAATAATTTATATAAACATATATGTAATGCTTCATCTACCGTTCAAAAAAGAGAGAAAGAGTTTGTGAGATGAGAGAAGGAAAGTGAAGTCATCAAATATACAACTAAGGTGACGTTTGTTTTTAAGAATTGTTGAAGTCTGAAGTCTTATTTCACTTCTAATTTATAAGAAGTAGTGCTGAAGTTTGAAATCTAAATTAATAAGACTGTTTGTTTTTGTAAACTGACAAACGTCTGAAGTCTGAAACCTGAATCAATAGTTTGTTTTTGTAAACTAACAAACGTCTGAATATGTATAATTAACTATTTTACGACTTACATGATTCTAGTGTTGTGATCTTATTCGCTCCCAATAACTTTTTTGGGGGGTAATTGTTCTGTGAGTATCCAGGTCAGGTCAGTTTACAGGGACATTATAAATGGCTTAGAGTTATAGGAGGTCAACCTCATGGCCACAACCAAAAAATATGAGATTTCCATTAAATTCTTAAGCCTTAACTAGCAGTATGCCACAACCCAACTGGTTCACCATAAAAGTTACAAAAAAATAAAAAGAAAGTCAAGAGTTCTTTTGCCATACGTTACATACACATCATAAAACAGGGGATATTAATATAACTAGCTACAATTATTCAAGAAAATTGGTAATAATCCTTAAAAGATCCCGTTGAAGATATAAGCCCTTTGGTTTTCAAACTCTCAACACTGCCCCTGATAATCTGGTCTATAGCAAATAACTCAAGACCCAAATCCATGAGGGGAATCAAAAACAGGTAATCTTTGATCTTGGTAGCCCAGGGATGAAATCAAAAACACGAAAACACCTCAAGAGACGCACTGCACGTGGACGAAACCCACAAGGACGAAAACTCACATGGATGGAGACAGGGGTTCGATTCGGACTTTATTTTGGGTCAATTTGAGAGAAGGTGATAAAGGCAGGGTTTCGATTCGAGAGAACACTGGAGCTGATGTTAGATAGAGATGTGGTAAACGATTAGGAGGATATAAGAGATCAGTTTACCTCTTTTTTGTCCAGATCTGATTAAGAGAAAAGAAGCTCTGAAAACAAAAGAAAAACAAACGGTCTAAATTTGAAAACGTCTGATCAAATCAGACATAATTACAATGACATCGGATAATATGTTTGAAACTATTTGAAAATGGTGATTTCAGAACTTTGTTAACACTTAGACGAAGGACGTTTTTATAATGAAGTGTTTGAAACTATTTGAAAAAGTGTTCTATAAAAAAATGGGTTTATAGGACGTTTATCAAAAGGGTCCTGTAAAAATAGTTAATAAGACATTTTATTTTAAAAACGTCTTAAAAAGCTTGTTGAAACGCTTAACGTCCTATAAATCTATTGTAACGATATTAGATAGGACTTTTTTAATAGTTCTTAAAGTCAAATAATTACAATGACATCGGATAATGTGTTTGTATATAGGTATGTATATGTGTGTGTGTGTGTGTGTGTGTTGGACTTGATAAGAGAATTATTATCCACTATACATTCCATGTGGAATATATGTAATATTTTACATAATGTGTGTGTGTATGTGTATATATATATATATATATATATATATATATAACCAAAAGTATGAAAAACGAAAAAACAAATTCAAAAATCCGCCGGAAATATGCCGCCGGGAATCTGCCAAAAAACCTTAATTTTTTATAAAAAATTTTGAAGAATTTATTATTTTAAATTACCGACGGCCACCGGCATCCGCCGGTTATTTAAAATAATAAATTTTAATTTTTAATTAATTTTCGATGGATTACCAGCGGACGTTAATCTTAAAAAATTAATCAAAAATCCGTCGAAAATCCACCGGTAACTTATTGTAGTTAGAGTTAATAATTTCGTAACAATTTAATTTGTACAATCCGTTGGAAATCCGCCGGAAATAATGCCGGAATATAAATAGTGGCATATTTTCAACGGAAGTCAATGGAAGTTGATATTTTTGTTGTCCGTCGGAAATCAGCCAGTAATTTTCCAGTGGATTTTTTGGCCGAAAATACCCAGTTTTCTAGTAGTGATTGAGGGTGAATACCTGAGATCGAGTTCAAGTTCGCATTGGTGAAGCTATGTTAGAGGCGAGACTACGATGAGCTTGAACTTGGCTGAAATCTGAGTATCCATTAGAGTTTTATTTCTATTAATTCATAAAAAAAAAAAAAAAACAATAAACATCAAGGATTCAAGTAGGATTGATCATATATATGAGAAAACCAAGAGCAATGAAAAAAACTAGCATTGGAACTCATGGATTTGAGAATGAATCAATGATATAGATGAGAAACCATTTGAGCCAATACATTGTGATGTACAAAATAGGAACCTAATCGATATATAAAGACTGATTTAAGACTAATCTACCCTTAATTGATTACAATAATGATAATATACGCTAGCACTAATTAACATGAATTGCTATGGATGTATCGGTCCATGATGATGTTGACATGTTACTTATGGACAGGAATCGGTGACACACACACCCCCCTATATATCGTATGGACCACACCGTATGTGGTCCATGATGATATCTCGGCTTTCTTTTGCTTCTATTCAATATATGCGGTCCATGCCTAATCGTTTTTTGGTGCTTGTAGTACTGAAAATGCATAAAAACCACAATTACTTACAACCACATCTGATTTAGACCATATATGGGAAGAAGAGAATGAAGCATATGATATCATGAATTTAGAAATGGAAAGTAAGAGCAGGTGCAAGGTTTGTGTGACTGGAGGTGCTGGTTACATTGGCTCAGCCTTGGTTCACTCACTTCTGCAAAATGGTTACACTGTTCATGCTACTCTTAGAAACTTGGGTACGTATAACCTGCCGTTTCTTTGTATCTTTGTGTGTTTATGTGTGTGAGTATCAACCATACTGAGAACATATGGAACCTCATTATATTACTTTACCAAAACGCCCTTTTGAACTAAAGAGAGAAGAGAGGTTCCAACACTCTGTATGTCGGCATATTAACTTGTGTGTGTGTTTTTGTTTAATTTAAAGGTGATGAATCCAAGGTGGGACTTCTAAGAGGTTTTCCAGATGCAGAAGAAAGACTTCATTTGTTTGAAGCTGATATTTACAGACCACAAGAGTTTGAAGAAGCTATACAAGGTTGTGTGTATGTTTTCCATCTTGCAACGCCCATCTATGACACTTCTGGCTATAAGGTGTGACATTCTTGAATTTTACAACCAATAATCAAGATTCCCATAGCCCTAAAAAGAAATTCATTTTCTAATGATTTTGTTGGTTGATAGTACAATGACAAGATTAAGGCAACAATCAGTGCAGTAAAGAAGATTGTAGATGTTTGCATACAGTCTAGGACCGTGAAACGGCTCATCTATACCGCCTCCGTTGTTGCAGCTTCACCATTGAAAGATGATGGAAGTGGCTATAAAACCACCATGGATGAAAGTTGTTGGACACCCTTTCATATCAATGTCCCTTACAGCAACGATTTCGTAAAGGTTTTTAGTTAATCATTTCTTTGCACTTAGTTTTCTTAATTAATAAGTGTTATATTTTGAACTCTTAAATCTTGTGGGAGTTTTTTTTGTTAGGAATACACGGAAGCAAAAACAAGAGCTGAACAAGAGATCTTGAAAATTGGGGAAGATGAAGCTAATGAATTGGAGGTAGTGACATTATCTTGTGGACTGGTGGGAGGAAGAGGTCATCTTCTACATACAACAGGCAGTGTGATGTCATTGATATCACAAGTTATGAATGATGAGACTCAATACCAAATACTGCATTGATATCACAAGTTATGAATGATGAGACTCAATACCAAATACTAAGGTACCTTGAAGAACTGATGGGAAAAATCCCGATCGTGCACATTGAGGATGTTTGTCGAGCACATATCTTTTGCGTAGAGACGCCAATGGTTAATGGGAGATTCTTATGCTCGAGTTCGTACATAACAAGTGCAGAAATGGCTAAGTATTATCAGGAAAACTATCCACAGTTTCATTTGAAGCAAGAGTAAGATTTTTACGATAGACTTGATCAAAAGTCGAAAATAAAGTTTGTTTAGTTGAAACTTTGTAACTTATTGTTAGTTTCTTGTTTCAGGTACTTCGAAGGACCAAAAAGAGATATCAAATGGGGCTCAAGAAAGCTTGAAGATGAGGGGTTTTCTTACAAACACGATGCCAAGACGATCTTGGATGATTGTATCGAATATGCAAGGAGATCGGGCAATATCTAGCAAGAACTTGTCATTAAGTTTTGTTTTGTGTGGTATGTTCATTTTAGGTTTCTATAAACCCTAAATTGTACTGGTCGTCGTTATTATTTCACCAATGAGGTTAAACAAACCTCCTCGGTATATCTATGCTAATGGAATCATTTTTATCAATTTCATATATATATATATATATATATATATAGAGAGAGAGAGAGAGAGAGAGAGAGAGTTGTTTGTACAAACCGTACAAACCTCATTCAATCAATCATAATTTTTCATCTTATTTATTTTTTTTGTAATTATGAGAGGTTGATTAATCATTTTTTGTGGATGGTATTAATCATAGATATTATCATCTTCATTATATTAATTATAGAGAAATACATGAAACAGTTTTATTAAAATTTCATAATCATATATGAAACAACTTCATCAAAAAAAAGTATTATATGAGATAATTTCGTAAGACTAAACAATTTAATAAAAAAGTTACATAAGATTAAACAATGAAATCGAAGAATTAGGGTGGTTTGCACGGTTTGTACAAATATGGGTGGTTTGCATTTATATATATATATATATATATATATAAGTCTAATCAAATGAGAACTGATAAGTTTGTGGTAACTGTGAGGTCCAATCTCAACCACAAATCAACGGATAAATTAGAAAATTAATAATTATGGTAGTTTGAGTTAAAATTAATTTTAGAGGGCATATTAGGTATTTTTTAAAAACTGCTCTCTCCTCTCTCCTCTCTCCTCTCTCATCTCTCCGACTTCCAATCTCCGGCCTCCGGCCCTCCGGTGAACATTAATTCGACAGGTATCACAGTATATCACAATGAGTATCACATTGTGTATCTTTATTTTTAAGGTTTGAGTTGGTATCATAGTTGGTATCACAATATATCACAATGGGTATCACATTGTGTATCTTTATTTTTAAGGTTTGAGTTGGTATCATAGTTGGTATCACAATGGTATCACAGTATATCACAATGGGTATCACATTGTGTATCTTTGTGATTACTTGATATGTAACACCCCCATTCCGAAGGAAGGGAGGTTACTTCAAAACGTAACGGAGCGCTATATAAAACCTCCAAAATATAGTCTCCAATACAAAATAAAATCTTCCAATAACGAAATTGAATATAACTCCAAATAAGATATAAAGGTCTCCAAACAAAATATTTCCAAAATCCTCCAACAACCGAGGAAAATCTAAAAACAACCAAAGAAATCTAATCTAATAGCTAGAAAGGAACAAAATCTAATAAATGAATTAACATAACACTAAACCTCTTGAAATCCTTGGAACCAAGATTCTGATCTACTCTCTTTCACAAGACTTAGCCGCCCCCTTGATTACCTGCCGTGAGGAATAGAAGAAAACACGGCTGAGCCAAATGCCCAGTGAACGGATAAACAAATATAGAAAAAAACGGTATTACAAACATGCCAAAATCGAACCAAACGAGTACCA